CTTCCCCACATAACCAAGAAGATAACCCTCAAACAAAATCGAAATATGAATCCACCTAAAGGGCAATAGCTCAAGCATTATGTTGATAGTCACTAAATGAAATGCAGCAGCGAGTCAAAAATTCTATAAATAATATTTCCAAGGCAAACTTCAATCAATAACTTCTTTGCTCAGCAAACCCATCAAACAACCATGAAGAAATGTAAAATGCACAGAATTAAAAAAAAAAAAAAAAAAAGAGGCATTTGCAAGCATACAACACAACTGCACCAGAATATGAAGTAGCATTAAAATGCCTAATTCACGGTGTAATTGAAGTTGCTAGACAGCACAATAAGATTAGAATAATCACAAAACTAAGAGATAAAGTATAAACCAGGGATCTAACGAGGAAAATGCTTCATTCAAATCCACCAACGCTCAGAATCACACACACACACACACAAACACACACACACACACACACACAAACACACACACACACACACACACACAAACACACACACACACAAACACACACAAACACACAGATGAAATATAGACAAAAGTAAGATCGAGAAGAAGATATTACCTCTGCCAACTGCGAAAGAGCCGAACCTGTTTATCAGTGTGAAGTAGCGAAGGAACGGAGTAGTGGATAATGAGGAATTGAGAACCCTAGAGTTTATGTAAATGGCGTGGGATATGGATACAGATGATATTTGGGTTGACAGATAAGCCCAATATAATTGGGGCTGTTAAAAAGAGAGAGAGAGGCCCAATTACGCTGATTTATGTATCCACTTAGGATTATGCACTTTTGTATTGAATTGTTTGTAATATCTATCTATTACTATAAAATAGCAATAAGAATTTACTTTTAAGTAAAGAGTAAAATTTCGTCTAAAAATTTAAATTTTACTATAATTTGTAACGTTTTTAAAAAATAAAAATATCATAAGTAGATTTTTTTGAATACATTCTATTTTATCTTAACTTACATATAATCGCATTCCTAACAAACATTAAATTTGTTTACATATTTTTAGATTAATTTACATCATTAATTAAGATTAATATAAATTAAATAATTATCATTATATACAAAAATAATATTACTTCTACAAGTGTTATCAATAATAATGACATTATACAACAATATATTTTTAATAGAATAATATTTGAGTATTATGATAGACCAAAATATGTAAAATTATCATTTTTTTGTATTAAAAAATTAATATATATGTTAAAATAATATTTATATTATAATAAACTGACTAACAGACTAATTAATGTTAAAATAAAATTTTGAAAAAATGTTCTAAGGTACAAAACACCCGTGCATCCGGCGGAATTCTCACTAATTTTTGTTATATAGTACTTGGAATGTGTTCATTATCTATTACTGCATAATAGAGAGAGAGAGAGAGATGTGCTTGAAATAGTATTAAAATTCAAGCTTAAGAATTTCAAAGTTACTTTTCTTAGTATTTTTTTTTTTGTTGAAAAATGGCGGTTGAATGAAAATTTGAATTCAAATGTCAAAAAAGAAAAAGAAAAAAAAAACAAATTGTTAT